TTAGCCTGATTCAACAATTTCAGGCTGCTGCAGAAAAAACAAAAACAAAACAGGAGACTTGTGGCTCTAATCCGCAGGAGTTTATACTAGACTAAAAATTGCCTGTCTTTAAGATGCCATGGGTCTCCGACTTTGCCTGAGAAGCTGTTGACCCCAATTCAATTATACTCATGTACACTGTTATATCAACAAAGACCAGTTGTGTGGGGAGGGGGGGGACAAAGTATTCAGCTCTTTACTCCTCCTCCCAACCAATGGATAGATGCTATCACCAATGTACCAGCTCAGGTTACAGCTACAGAACATGAGCTACTGAATCAGGGTACAACTACATTTGTTTATAGTTCTTCCTGCAAAGGAGGCTGATTTCAAGCACATGGATCCCCTGGCTGGTTCAGGATAAGCCAAGACTTTCGCAGTGTAGAGTGCCACCTGAGCTTCTACGTCCAAACCCAGCCACTACACTACAGTTTGGGGTGGAGGAAGACACTGCTGAAATAGCTTACAGCAAATGTAGAGTCTGATGGCACCTTTGAGAGCAACAAAGGTTTATTCAAGGTATGAGCTTTCGTGTACATGCACACTTTATCAAATACGTTAGTATGGCAGGCAAGGTTCAAACTTACAGCCAGAGAATGAACAGCAAATTAACACTCAACATGATGATGATCAAGATATGCAAAGTGACAGTAAATAACAAGTTAAGGTTATAAGGTCAACACTTGTCAACAAACTGGGAATCTTCATTCTCTCCTGATACCCAGTCACCTCCCACAATTAGAAAAAACACCTTTAGACATTTTTTCTGCTAGTTTGAGATATTTATTGCTTTACAACTGTTGACCCTATAACCTTAATTTGTTATTTACTGTGACTTTGCATATCTTGATCATCATCATGTTGCGTGTTAATTTGCTGTTCATTCTCTGGCTGTAAGTCTGAACCTCCTCTGCCATTCTAATGTATTTGATAAAGTGTGCATACACATGAAAGCTCATACCTTGAATAAACCTTTGTGGTCTTAAAGGTGCCACTGGACTCTGAATTCATTCTACTGCTTCAGACCAACATGGTTGACCAACTGGATCTAGCAAATAGGTCAAGATGATACACATGAAAGAAGCAAGTGCCATAGTACAAGGGAATGTCCTAGAGTCATCATTCATTCCTAAGTGAAAATCTGATAGACTCAAAGCATAACCAAAACCCAAGTCACATGGTGTTAAGAGCAAGTTTCTTACTAGGCAAGGCTGAAGAGCAGTGTCCCCTCTAAGCTGAGCTAGTGTGAGCTAGCTCACAGTTTTTTAGCCTCTGGCTCACACATTTTTGTCTTAGCTCAGGAAGGATGGCTCCAGAGCAAACTAACTTACACAGCAGCCAAATCGCTCACTCACAACTTAAATGTCAGTGGCTCACAAAGTAGAATTTTTGCTCACAAGACACAGCTTAGAGGGAACACTGCTGAAGAGTTTGGGATTTTTCAGTTTAGAAAAGAGATGATTAAGGGGGCAACATGACAGAGGTTTCTAAAATTAGCACAAGGTGGAAAGAGCTGACAAAAGGACTTTTTCTCCCTCTCCCAAAATTCTAGAATTCAAGGGCATCCAATGAAGCTGATGGGCAGTAGATCCAGGGCTGACGAAAGGAAATACTTCTTTTTTATTTATCAAAATAAACAAATTACCGATATACAAAAAAATACAAAATGTTCATAAGATACATTGCCAATCTGAACCCCCTTTCGCCCTGCCTCCATGGACACAGAAAACCGTTCACCAGCAACTGACAATATTCACACTATTTCCACATATACAGTTGCCAGCTCAATTCTTTGTGTCGCTCTTGACCATAAAAGGCCTACTCTATGTGTATCTGTTTTTCTGAAAAGCAGTTAGATTCATTAAAATCTAGGTCTCCTTTATTTTCAACAACCAGTCTTGCACTTTACGGATATATTTTTTTGTTTCCACTGCCTGTAAAAACCCAGCCTGGCAGCAGTGAGGCAACCATTTGCTGATCTCTAGGGATACTCAGGTAGGTAAAAGGAAATACTTCTTTACACAGGATTAAAATGTGGAATTCGCTGCCAGAGGCTGTAGTGATGGCCACAGGAATAAACAGCCTCAAAAGGGGATTAGAGAGACTCATGGAGGATAGGTCTATCAGTGGCTACTAGCCATGGTGACTAAAGGGAACATCTACATTCAGGGACAGTCAACCTCTGAATCCCAGAGCCAGGAGGCAATATCAGGGGAAGGCCTCAGCCTCTGTGTCCTGTTGTTCGCCCTCCAGAGGAATTGGCTGGCCACTGTGTGAGACAGGAGGCTGGACTAGACAAACAACTGGTCTGATCCAACAGGGCTCTTTTTATGTTCTTTTCAGGGAAGGCCTCAGCCTCTATGCCCTGTTGTTGGTCCTCCAGAGGAACTGGTTGGCCACTGTGCGAGACAGGACACTGGACTAGATGGACTATTGGTCTGATCCAGCTAGGGCTCTTCTTATGTTCTCATTTTCTTATGTTTTTACTGTCTTACATTCTCTGTTTTTCAGTCCAACCTACCTCAGGAGGCTAAATATGAGTTGCTCACTGAGGAGTACTACAGAAGTAATAATTGCTTTGAAAGCCATATGCTTCCAAAGCAATTAAGCAGGCACACACAGAGCAAGATCATCCCATAAATTAGAATATATGCAAGAAGAAGAAAAATTGTATCTCTATGAGAAAAACTGGGTAAGAATGATCTCGAAAGAACGCTGAGAAAAGTTACTTTTGTTTCACAGAAAATGTCAGCTGAATCCCTGAAAGCAGTCATTCATAAACCACGCTTTCATCAAGAAAGTCCCAAGCAATTCAGTATAACGCGGATGATCTGATGAGCCGGTGAAGATGGCAGATCATTTTTTTTAAAGTACGATAAAAATGTAAGAAGAGCATTACTGCGTCAGACCGGTGGTCCATCTATTCCAGCATCCTGTTGCGCACAGTGGCTGGCTGTGTGTGTGTGGGGGGGGCATAGAGGCCAACATCTTCCCCTTATGCTGCCTCCCCACACTGGTATTCAGAGGTCAGCTGCCTCTGAATGCAGAAGTCCCCTTGATGATGATAAAATATTTGTGCGAAGCCTCCATGACAACCGCTCTACATGAAAGTGGAGGAGAGCTGCATGCAGAACACAAGCTCTCTCAAACGTGGACCTGAACTGCCACAACTTCATGCTTTTTCTCCGGAAGACAATGCCACCAAGACACACAGGAAGAGGCAAATGTGGAGCAATACACCAGGCAGCCCACATGAACCCGAGCACCAATGATACGGCTTTGAAACTGCAAATGTCTGGGAAACTGCAGGGAGGGGAAGCTACACGGCAGATTTATTGCTGCTTCTGCTGGGAGGTAAACACTCCTCCACAGCCCAGCACGCGTTGTTTACAGCTCAGCAGTGAAAGCAGAACAGATCGCTGCTGCAACGCACAAAACTCCAGGCGTCATTAGCCGCCCTGGCATGGCACATGTGCCCACACACTAGCCTCCATAGGGCATTTTAAAAAGAACAAACATGCACCAAAGCATCTCCACATTGTAATCCGACTAAGGGTTCAGTCTATTTCACTGCAAGAATTAGCCCCAGGGTTCGCAATTTAAACTCGAGATTCTGTGCCTGTCCAGAGAGGAGATTCTGCGCACAGTGCTCCTTCTTGACAGGATTACAGACTAGCAGGGCCCACAGTGAGGCTGCAAAGGGGGTATCCATTAGTCAGTTGTAGCACAATAAAACCAAACCCACCAGCACGTCAAAGTCTACCAACATAAAATTCAATGTCCACTCCTTCCGATAGCCAGAATTCCAGAGGGCTCAACTCCCCTCCCAGCCTCTTTTGGTTTGGAAAACAAGCACAAGCGTATACTTGGCTCAGAAAGTCATTGGGGTTTTTTTGCATTATTCACAGAAATAGCGGTGGCTTGAGCGCTCACACACACAGCCTGCCTGATACAAACATATACAAACATTGAAAAATACTACTTTTTACCTGTGCTGTTCTTAATAACACTGCCAGCCAGCAAAGCTGTCAACTTGTAAAAGAAAGGCCACTTAACACTTTCTTTACTAAGGCCAACCAAAACAACACAAAATTTTCAGGTGGGTAGCACACAAAAGCTTGTACCCAGAATAAAACTGAGGTGAGCAGTGACTCACGAAGGCTCCTACCCTACCACAAATTTTGATAGCCTTTGGCTGCGGTCTCACACACACACACTGATCTGCTTTCAATGTACTTTCCAAGGGGGTTTTATTGTGTGACCTGGCAGAATCCAGTTGGAAAGTGCAGGGAAAGTGGATTATTTAGGGTGCCTTTAAGGTGCTACCGGCCTCTTGCTGTCTTCTACTGCTACAGATCACAAAATAAAACTTTGTTGGGTCTTCAAGGTGCCCCGGGTCTCAAACTGAACACGACGTACTTGTGGAAGCTTTGCTGGGTTCTTTTTTTAATTCGTCTGAGTGCGAAGTTAGGGGACGGCTGGGTGGGTGGCGCTAGTAGGGGGACCTACACGGGCGACGACCTCCTTTTCCTGTGTCAACTCCCGCGGTCCTTATCGCGTCCCTCGCACACTCTCTTCTCCTCCGGGGGCTTCCTCGCTCGGACCCGGCGGGGGCCCAAGCGGCGTTCCTGAACCCCCAGGCATTCCACAGAGACTCGGGGCAGCAGGGAGGCAACCCCTCTTCCCTATCAAGAGAGCGCGACACGGGTATGCCGCCGCCGCCGCACGCGTCCCGACCATTTTGAGAGGAGCCTGACGCGGCCCTCCGCAGGGCGCATGCACACGTTGAAACAACACCCGCACACCCAAACACGCGGCGGCGGCGGCGGCCACCGAAGGCGAAAACAACATTGCGCACGAAGGCGGCGCGGGGCTTCTGCCAGCGGGCCGAGCAACGCGGGTCGCGCCTCCTCCTCCTCCCCCCCGGCCTCCCCAAGTGGCCAAAGGCGCCCGTCTCTTACCTGGGCCGGCCGGCGCCGGCTGCCAGGGCTCGGCACGCCGCCTCGCTTCCCCGGGGCTGAACGGCCGGACGACGGAACTCTCCGCAGTAGTCGCCGCAGCCCGAGAGGGGAGGAGAGGCGACCCCGGCAGCAACAGGCAGCAGCTCCCGCCCGCCCGCGCCTCCGAGACGCGACGCGGGCGGCCCTCCTCGCCACACGTGAGCCGCCCGGCCGCGCCGCTCCGCTCTCCGAGAGGCCCCAGAAGTCTGGCAACACAACACACAAGCACGCCCGCACCCCGCCATCCGGCTTTCGCCCACGAAGAGGCGGAGAGAGGGGGACCCTCCTCAGGCCCGGGGGGGGGGGGCTTGAGAAGGAGAGACGCGGCCCCTGCCAGTGTTCCCTCTAAGCGGAGCTAGTGTGAGCTAGCTCGCAGTTTTTTAGCCTTCGGCTCACACATTTCTGTCTCCGCTCGGGAAGGAGGGCTCCAGAGCAAACTCATTGATGCAGTCGCCGAATCGCTCGCTCACGACTTTAATGCCAGGAGCTCACAAAGGTGAATTTTTGCTCACAAGACTCCACAGCTTAGAGGGAGCATTTCCAAAGAGACAACCCGCGCCTCTCCATCTGCGTCGTTTTAAGGGATTGTGACTAAATCCTGCCTTTCTTGCAAGGAGATCGAGGTACTTTTTAAGGGATGCCAGCCTCCAGGTGGGACCTCGGGATCCCCCCGGAATTCCAGCTCAAAACTGCAGAGATCCGTTCCCCAAACGGCTGCTTTGGAGGGTGGACTCCAGGGCATTGTACCCCACTGAGATCCCTGTCCTCCCCAGCTCCACCCCGAAATCCCCAGGAACTGGCAAACCTACCCCCAATCTCCTGCCTTTGGAGGACCTGGCAACCCTACGTAGGGTTGCCAGCCTCCAGGTGGCGGCTGGAGATCCCTTGGAGAAAATGGCCACTTTGGAGGGTGGTCTCTATGGCGTTAGACCCCATTGAGGCCCCTCCTCACCCCAAACTCTGCCCTCCTCAGGCTCCACCCCCCCCTCAAATCTCCAGGTATCTCCCAAACCTGTTGGCAATCCTAGTAACAGGATACCCACACATCTCCCAATCCCATATTAGGCCGAAAGAGAAGCCCTGTTCACAAATTACAGTGAAGTCATGTACAATACAAGTTTGAGTCCAGTCGCACCTTTTAAGACCAACAAAGTTTTATTCTGAGCATAAGCTTTCGCGTGGATGCACCCTTCCTCAGATACAGACTGTCTGTATCTGAAGAAGTGTGCCTGCGCATAAAAGCTTATGTTCTGCTGCTTCAGACCAACACAGAGGGCCAACTTATCCATTAGGCACAGTGCCTAGGCCTCATGCTGTTTGTAGGGGCCCACAATAATGTTTTAATTTCTTTTTAAAATCAGAAGGGGGGGGGAACAAACTTTTAGGGTCAAAGAAAATGTTTTAATTTTTGTCAGAAAAAAAGACAAATGTTTAGGGCCCACAAAAATCTATTAATTTTTGCCTAAAACTGAAAAAAATATTTATTTCTTTGATTTAAATACCGCTTTTCCTCCAATTTGGGGCTCAGGGCAGTTAAGAACAATTATAAATACAATTCCAGTAAGTATGGTAAATATATGTTCAGAATAAAGTTTAAAAACAGTAAAAGCAGCAATATCGAACTAATCAGGTGGCGCTGAATATTCCATATCCTTCTCTAGAGGGGAGGAGACAGGGAGGCCAGGCTTGATGGCAGACCGTTGCTTCCCTCAACCATAGGCCTGGCTGAACATCTCTGTCTTAATAGAGGCACTGTGGAACTGCATTAGGTCCCACAGGGCCTGGATATCATTAAGCAGAGAGTTCCACCAGGCCAATGCCTGGGCCGAAAAGGCCCTGGCTTTGGTTGAGGACAGATGGATATCCTTCGGAAGTATTTTGTCGAAGTATTTAAAGTTGTATCAAAAATAATATTTAATATTGTTATTATTATGGCGGGAGGGACCCATAAAGGCATAAACACTTTGTGCTCACAAAACTTTTAGGGCCCATGAAGATGTGTTTTTTTCCCCTTAAATAAGAAAAAAATAAAAATGTAGTAGTAATAATTTATTTTCACTCCTTTATGAATTATTATTTTGTACTATAGTGGGAAGCTTAGTGGTTGTAAACTGTTTAGCCGTAGGCACCAACTGAATGATGGCAGATAGGAGGCCTACTTCGCCTCAGCGCTGTTTACGTCTCACTCTGGTATTTGGCCGAAAACTCTGTGGTAGACACATCGCTGCAATGTTGGCTGGGCCTGGGTCACTTTTGGGGTAAGCCCCCCCCCATGGGGTCTAGCTGCACCTGGTGGTGGGGGACCCTCCAACTGGGGGGGTCTGGCAACCCTAGTACATATTTCCATTGCGTTGGTATAAAGATGAATACAATCCAGCCTGAACTGTATTCATTTTTATCCCAATGCAGCAGTAAAATATAATTGTACTCAATTTTATCCCAATGCAGCAATAAAATATAATTTTTAATATTTTTTATGGAGGAAGATCTCAATAGGCCCTGGATCTTCCAAATCACACTTCAGTCTTCCAGTCCTCTGGGTCAGTCACAAGTTCTTTCAGAGCTGTTCTCTCAAGAGCAGTCCTCCCAGAGTTCTCTCAGCCCCACCTTACACCTCATCTCCAGACTACAGAGATCAGATCCCCAAATGGCTGCTTTGGAGAGTGGACTCTATGGCATTGTACCCCCCCCCGAGGTCCCAGCCCTCCCCAGGTACACTTGATTTTTCTTTATAAAGTTTTTCTTATTTGTTTAATGCATATACTGTTGAGCATGTGGTTTAAACCCCACATTTATCCCAGACTGGCTCACAGTCTCATTTGTAAACTGAACGTGCACTGGCTCTTTCTTACAAACAGGTTGTGTATGTACATGCAGGTGGTACATGGGGTCACTGTGACGTGTGGACAGAGCTAGAGTAGTCACACAGTGAGCTTCACCGAGTGGGGATTTGAATGGTGGTTCTCCTCACAACACCCCCGTGAGGTAGGTTAGGCTGAGAGAGAGGGACTGGTCACCCAGTTCACTTTGTTTTTTTAATTTATTTTTATTTATTTCGCTGCAATGTTGGCTGGGCCTGGGTCACTTTTGGGGTAAGCCCCCCCCCATGGGGTCTAGCTGCACCTGGTGGTGGGGGACCCTCCAACTGGGGGGGTCTGGCAACCCTAGTACATATTTCCATTGCGTTGGTATAAAGATGAATACAATCCAGCCTGAACTGTATTCATTTTTATCCCAATGCAGCAGTAAAATATAATTGTACTCAATTTTATCCCAATGCAGCAATAAAATATAATTTTTAATATTTTTTATGGAGGAAGATCTCAATAGGCCCTGGATCTTCCAAATCACACTTCAGTCTTCCAGTCCTCTGGGTCAGTCACAAGTTCTTTCAGAGCTGTTCTCTCAAGAGCAGTCCTCCCAGAGTTCTCTCAGCCCCACCTGCCTCACAGGGTGTCTGTTGAGGGGGGAGGAAGGGAAAGGAGATTGTAAGCCTCTCTGAGACTCCGAGTGAAGGGCAGGGTATAGATCCAATTTCTTCTTCTCTTCACATTTTGTAATTTTGTATGCTGTGGAGGGTTTCAACCAAAACGATTCAATGTGGAGTATTCAGGAAAGACTCATCTAGCGTGGTTTTATTTCATCCCTTCTTCTAAGGAGCTCAAGATAATATATGTGGTTTTCCCTTCCCTGGTTTCGTTCTCTCACCAACTATGTGAGGCAGGAGATGCTAAGGGCGAGGGTCACACCCAGCAAGCTGCATAGCAGGGTTAGGATTTGAAACCAGATCCTGGTCCGCCACACCACACTTACGGTGTCCATTGATAAATAAGGGGGGGGGGGGGGGGGGGAAAAGGTAAAAGCCCTTGGAAAAGAGGACACAATTTCTGTACATCCATAGGTGCAAATTCCCTCAGTTTACCCTAGATGTGGCTCTTTCTGATCTCTGGTTACTAATGGTGGATGGGGGACTTTGCAAGCCCCCGCCCCTTTCTTCCGGCTCATCCTCTTTCATTCACCCAGACAGTTGGGTTAGATTGACCAACACTTCTCTCAACCACAGGCAGGGCTTTTTTTTTAGAAAAAGCCCAGCAGGAACTCATTAGCATATTAGGCCACACCCCCATGCCTTCCCTTGGCTTGCCCAGGGGCCCTGCAGGCCAGGGGAGGCACGGGGAGGTATTTAAATGCCTCCCCGACCCTTCCAGGGGGCCCCCCTGGCTGGCCCGCCTTGGAGTCACTGGGGTGAGTGTGTCCAGGCCCGTAGCCAGGATTTCTTAATTCAGGGGGCCTTTAAATAAGTCAGGGGGCACTGATAAAATAAAAATAAAATAAACTCACACTCGCAGGCAGGAGCAGGGTTATTTCCCCTATTGTGGAGGGTGGGTGTAAGTGGAAGTCAGTCACTGACTCTGAGTAACCTGAGGAGGATCCCCTCCTCCTCTTATTTCCCCCCGCAACCGCATTGGCTGTGTGGAGTGCAGGGAAATACGGCGAAAGTGGCAGGCTCTTGTTCGGTTCCTTATTTCTTTCTTCCTGGCTGACTTCGTGCTTCCACGGTGACTCTTGTGTATGCCCTTTGTTGGTGCAACTGGGCTGGACTGAGAAGGCGGGAGCTGAAGGAAAAACCCAGGAGTGGAAGCTGAGGGAGTGCTGTGTTTCTCTCTCCCTTGGCGGCCAGCTTCCTCGGCGATGAGGGCACAGGCACATGCAAGCGAGCAATGTCTGCAATCTTGCACTGGAGGGAGAAGGGGAGAAATCTCTGTAGTTGCAGGTTCGGCCACAGGACCCACAGCCCCCTGGCCGCACCTCACCTGCCAGCCCGCTCGCCTGGCTGCCTTGCACCACTTCATGCCATGGCTTAGGGATGTGCATTCGGTTTGTCTGAGCTGAATGCACCCCCCAAAATGGCCCATTTGGGCCCCTTTCAGGCTGCTGTGGGCCGATTCAGATTCTTTGATCTGAATCGACCCCAGTATATCCTATGGGCCATTGAAGTCATGGCAAAAACATA